CATCAGCTGTAGCAATATTTTTCTAGATATGCCTCCTGAGGCAGAGGAATAATACGAAAAATAAACTACTGGAACTATATAAAAGTAAAAAGCTTCTGCACAGCAAAGGAAATAATCAACAAAACTAAAAGGCAACCTAATGAATAGGAGAAAATATCTGCAAATGACATATCCAATAAAAGGTTAGTATTCAGATTATATAAAGAATTTATACAACTCAACATCCAAAAAAAAAAAAAAAAAAAAAACAACCCCACAAATAATGCAATTAAAAACAGGGCAGAAGACATGAAAGACCTATCTCCAAAGAAGACAGACAGATGCCAACAGACACATGAAAAGATGCTCAACATCACTCAGAATCAGGGAAACACAAATCAAAACTATAATGCACTACCACCTCCCACCTGTCAGAATGGCTAAAATCAAAAATGCAAGAAACAATAGGTATTGGCGAGGATGTGGAGAAAAAGGAACCTTTTACACTGTTGGTAGGAATGCAAACTGGTGCAGCAACTCTGGAAAACAGTATGGAGGTTTCTCAGAAATTTAAAAACAGAATTGCCCTACAATCCAACAATTGCACTAGTGGGTGTTTACCCAAAGAATACAAAACCACTAATTCAAAGGGCTACATGCACTCTTATGTTTATTGCAGCATTATTTACAAAAGCCAAACTACAGAAGCAGCCCAAATGTCCATTAACTGATGATTAGATAAAGAAGACGTCTCTTTCTCTCTCTCTCTCTCTCTCTCTCACAAACACCCCCCCCACACACACACCGGTGGAATATTATTCAGTCATAAAAAAGAATGAAATCATGTCATTTGCAATGCTGTGGATGAAGCTAGAGAATATAATTCTAAGTGAAATAAGTCAGCCCAAGAAAGACAAATACCATATGATTTCACTCATTTGTGGAATTTAAGAAAAAAAGCAAATGATCATAGGGGAAAAAATAGAGAGAGGCAAACCAAGAAACAGAATCTTAACTACAGAGAACAAATTGATGGTTACCAGGGTGGGGGGATGGCAGGATGGGTCAAACAGCTGATGAGGATTAAGGAGTGCACTTGTCATGATAAGCACTGGATTATTAAAGTAAAAACTTAAAAATAATTAAAAGAGAAAAATCATAAGAAAGAGAAACTACATTTACAGTACTTATCAAATAAATCCACATGAGTGGACCCATGAAGTTCAAACCCATGTGGTTCAAGCGTTAGCTATATTTGTTGTAAGATTCAGGTCACTAGAAAACCCAGAAATGAACCCAGAACTATATGGTCAATTAATCTTTGACAAAGCAGGAAAGAATATTCAGTGGAAAAAAGACAGTCTCTTCAACAAATGGTGTAGGGAAAACTGGACAGCAACATGCAAAAGAATGAAACTGGAACACTTTCTTATCCCAAACACAAAAATAAATTCAAAATAGATGAAAGACCTAAATGTGAGACAGGAAACCATCAAAATTCTAGAGAACATAGGCAGTAACCACTCTGACATCAGCTATGGCAACTTCTTACTAAGTTGTTATAAAGTAACTTCTATATAACAACCATATAGTTGGATGTTGCCACATAGTAACTTCTTACTATGTTTTACTAAGTAAGACATATCTTACTAGATATGTCTCCTCAGGCAAGGGAAACAAAAGCAAATACAAACTATTGGGATTTCATCAAGATAAAAAGCTTTTCATCAGGATAAGATAAAAAGCTTTTGGGTAATGGGTATTAAGGGGGGAGTTTGTGTTGAGTACTGGGTTTACATGTAAGTGATGAATCACTAAATTCTACTCCTGAAATCAGTATTACCCTATATGTCAACTAACAGAAATTTAAACAAAAATTTGAAAAAAAAATAGTAATTTGGTAAAGTTAAAAAAAAGATAAAACCTTCTGGACTGGAAGAGATTATGCTGAGTGAAATAAGTCAAGCAGAGAGTCAATTATCATATGGTTTCACTTATTTGTGGAGCATAACAAATAGCATGGAGGACGAGGGGAGTTAGAGAGGAGAAGGGAGTGGAGGGAAATTGGAAGGGGAGGTGAACCATGAGAGAATGGACTCTGAAAAACAATCTGAGGGTTTTGAAGGGGCGGGGGGTGGGAGATTGGGGGATCCAGGTGGTGGGTATTAGAGAGGGCAAGGATTGCATGGAGCACTGGGTGTGATGCAAAAACAATGAATAGTGTTACACTGAAAATAAATTTAAAAAATTAAAAAAAAAACTGCACAATGAAGGAAACAATCAACAAAACTAAAAGGCAACCTTTGGAAGGGGAGAAGATATTTGCAAATGACATATCTGATAAAGGATTAGTATGCAAAATCTATAAAGAACTTATAAAACTCAACACCCAAAAAACAAATAGTCCAGTGAAAAATGGGCAGAAGGCATGAACAGACATTTTCCCAAAAAAGACACCACATGAAAAGATGCTCAACATCACTCAACATTAGGGAAATACAAGTCAAAACTACAATGAGATACCACCTCATACCTGTCAGAATGACTAAAATTAACAACACAGGAAACAACAGGTGTTGGTAGGAATGCAAACTGGTGCAGCCACTCTAGAAAACAGTATGGAGGTTCCTCAAAAAGTTAAAAATAGAACTACCCTACAATCCAGCAATTACACTATTGGGTATTTACCCAAAGGAAACTGATTCCAAGGGACACATGAACACAAATGTTTACAGCAGCATTATCAACAGTGGCCAAATTGTGGAAAGAGCCCAATGTCCATCAGCTGATAAATGGATAAAGAAGATATATACACAATGGAATACTACTCAGCCATAAAAAAGAATGAAATCTTGTAATTTGCAATGAGGTGGATGGAGCTAGAGAGTATAATGCTAAGCAAAATAAGTCAGCCAGAGAAAGACAAATACCATATGATTTCACTCATATATGAAATTTAAGAAACAAAACAAATGAACACAGTGGGGAAGAAAAGAAAGGCAAATCAAGAAACAGACTCTTGGGACGCCTGGGTGGCTCAGTTGGTTAAGCGGCTGCCTTCGGCTCAGGTCATGATCCCAGCGTCCTGGGATCGAGTCCCACATCAGGCTCCTTGCTCGGCAGGGAGCCTGCTTCTCCCTCTGCTTCTGCCTGCCTCTCTGTCTGCCTGTGCTCGCTCACTCTCTCTCCCTCTGTCTCTGAAAAAAAAAAAAAAAAAAAAAAAAAAAAAGAAACAGACTCTTAACTATAGAGAATAAACTGATGGTTATCAGAAGACAGGTGGGGGGGATAGGTTAAATGGATGATGGGGATTAAGAAGGGCACTTGTGATGAGCACCAGGTGTTACATGTAAGTGCTGAATCGCTAAATTCTACACCTGAAACTAATATTACACTGTATGCTAATTAACTGCAATTTAAATAAAAACTTTTAAAAAATCAGTCACATTTTGAATGAAGAACTTCCCACATTTTAGATTTGGCTGGCTGTATTCTCATGGTATTGTTTAACTTATCTATCTCTGTCTTTTATGTAAAGTACTAATTACATCTAGGGGCTGAATTGGATTCAGGTTTAATTTAGAAGACTGGGCAGAAATAGTTCATAGATAATATTGTATACATCCTATTACATCAAATCAGGAAGTACATGATATCTGACTATTCCACTTTGGTAATCAGCTAAAACTAAATACAGATGATAACTGCCTAAATCCATTGTTTCATTAGGGGTAGCAACAATGGTGATTCTTAAAATTCTGACTTTTTTTTAATTGAGGTATAACTAACATACAACATTCTATTAGTTTCAGGTGTACAACATAATGATTCAATATGTGTATATATTACGAAATGATCACCACACTAAATCTAAATTCTAACATTTTTAATACTGGAATTCTTCCATAAAGAAAAACTTTCCCTCACCAACTATTCAGTTATCTTATTAAATTGAAATAAGGAAGACAAGATACATGCTTTAGTTATCAATTTTCAAAATAATGAGTTAGTAAACAAGCAACCTACACTTATGTCCAATACTTCCCTTTTAAGTATCATTACAAACTCACAGATTTCTATATATTTAAGATGTTCATTCTATGATAGAAAATTTTAATGGAAACTTATGATAAACAGCATTTTCGACTACTGGGAAAGGATAGACTAGCTAATAAGGTGATGGGTCAATGAGCTCTTAGGATAAAGGATATACAGTAGCATATGGTAAATGCACAACCAAAAGCTCTGGGAAACCAAAGATTGAACAGTTGGAATTTTAGCCTATTAAGTATCTCAGTATGTACCAAGTGACATTAAGAGTACATGTAAAAGCACTTAGCATGGTACCTAATACAAATAGTAAGTTATATCTGTGGGTGTGGGTGTGGATGTGTGTGTGGATGTTGTGGGGATGTGTATATACATGCATGCCCATACATGCATGCACAGTGACGTGTTGCTAAAAGTTAAAAACTGGCTCCATAAGAAAAAAATAGTTCTGACTTGCAGTGTTTGTCGATTTCCATTAAACACTCCTAACACAGATGTAACGGCACCACAGCCAGAGCTGGGAACAAATGTACACAACTCATTCTCACTATACCACCGAATATTATCCATAGAGTCATATGATATAAAATGCAATTATTTTTGCATATATATGAATATGTGCTTACATGCATATGTGTGTGCGTGTGCATGTATGCAAGTATATAAAACCAAAACACACAAAAAAGACCGGGAAAGATATCTAATGGATGACAGGGTTTTCGCCAGTGGGGGGAGAGGGGTGGGAGAGATGGAGATGGTATAGGGTAGGAGGAGAAGGATAAATAGAATTTTTGTTTTATCAAGTTCACTGATTTGTTCACCTACTGCTTATGTATTTATTGGGTCAAAATAGGGTACTTTATGTTCTCAATAACATTAACATTAAGCCCCAAATAAACAGCTTAATCAGATGTCATACTACACACACACATACACACACACAAACACCTTCTAAAAAATATACAACTTACTTTGGCTTCAGTTTCTCCTCTGTGAAGAGTATACAGATGATGGACAGCACTTTGTGATGAAGACCAAGGATGAGTCAGAATTTGGAAGACATGAAAGTCATGGCCGAGGGTGTCTGTTGTGACTAGAAGCATTCCTGAAAGACACACAATAAGAGAGTAAAAGTAAAAACAATTAGGCATGTGGATGAAATATTTTCACAAAGTATTCATTATGCTTTCTTTATTTTTTTATTTTTTTTGAAGAGTCTACCTATTTATTTGACAGAGAGAGAGAGATCATAAGTAGGCAGAGAGGCAGGCAGAGAAAGAGGGGCAAGCAGGCTCCCTGCTTAGCAGAGAGCCCGATGTGGGGTTCGATCCCAGGACCCTGAGATCATGACCTGAGCCAAAGGCAGAGGCTTAACCCACTGAGCCACCCAGGCACCCCTCTTTATGCTTTAAAGTACTACTGATGGAAAAAAAAAATGACCAAAGATGTAAAAAAAACTTCTCCCAATTAAAAAAAAATAAAATACAACATCTTTCTTCTGTATGAACCTTCATGCAACATCAGTATACATCAGTATAATTTAGTAAGGACACTAATTGTAGAAGTTTTCTGTTTCCGTATGCCTAGTAGAGAAAGGATTACTAAGAGTTCTCAAACACTTAAAACAGCCAATGTGATAACAAAAAATGTGAAAATGACTTCTCTCCATGAAACTAAAACCTGCTCCCACTTCTTACCATTTTTCAAAACCTGAATTTTGAGTTTCAGTTTATCTACAATACCCTACCTTAATTCACCAGTTTAGAATGTGTCTCTACCCTGGCATAACATTTATCCAAACTGCTTATAGTGTCTCACAGAGCAAGTTTTTAATTTTGACAAAGTATCTCGGTGGAGAACTCTTTCCCTAATCCATGGTCACAACTATTTTGTATTCTGGTAAAATTTTCAGAGTTTTATATTTTACATAAAGGTCTATCATTCATTTTGAGTTAATTTTTGTAAAAAGCATGAGGCATAACACAAAGGAACTTTTTTTGGAAATGATGTTCAGTTGTTCCAGCAAGATTTCTTCCAGAAACTATTCTTTATCCACGGAGTTCTTTATCCTTTATTTTTTAAATCTATTGTCAATTTGTCAAATATCAACTGGCTGTATCTGATAGATCTTTTTCTGGAATTATTATTCTAGTCCATCAATTTCATCTATAGTCATCTTTACTCTCATTAATACCACACTTTCGGAGGAGGAGTCAAGATGGCGGAGAAGTAGCAGGCTGAGACTACTTCAGGTAGCTGGAGATCAGCTAGATAGGTTATCTAAAGATTGCAAACACCTACAAATCCAACGGGAGATGGAAGAGAAGAAGAACAGCAATTCTAGAAACAGAAAATCAACCACTTTCTGAAAGGTAGGACTGGAGGAGAAGTGAATCCAAAGCGACTGGACAATAGACCGCGGGGGGAGGGGCCGGCTCCCGGCAAGCGGCGGAGCAACGGAGCACAAAATCAGGACTTTTTAAAAGTCTGTTCTGCTGAGGGACATCAGTCCAGAGGCTTAACCGGGGTGAAGCCCACGCGGGGTCAGCGTGGCCTCAGGTCCCGCAGGGTCACAGAAGGATCGGGGATGTCTGAGTGTCGCAGAGCTTACAGGTATTAGAACGGGGAAGCTGGCTACAGAGACAGAGCCGAGGAGTGAGCTCTAAACTCGGGGTTACCTTGAACCGGTCGCAGGCTCAGTCAGCTTGGATCGTGGCCAGAGGACAGAGTGACGGGAGTAACTGGGCACTGTTCTCTGAGGGCGCACTAAGGAGTGGGGCCTCAGGCTCTCGGCTCCTCCAGGCCGGAGACTGGGAGGCCGCCATCTTCATTCCCGTCCTCTGGAACTCTACGGAAAGCGCTCAGGGAACAAAAGCTCCTGAAAGCAAACCCGAGCGGATTACTCAGCCCAGCCCCTGGTAAGGGAGGTACAATTCCGCCTGGGGCAAAGACACTTGAGAATCACTACAACAGGCCCCTCCCCAAGAAGATCAACAAGAAATCCAGCCAGGACCAAGTTCACCTACCAAGGAGTGCAGTTTCAATACCAAGGAGAGCTGCGGAATTCCAGAGGAGGAGAAAGCAAAGCACGGAACTCATGGCTTTCTCCCCATGACTCTTTAGCCTTGCAGTTAATTTAATTTTTTTTTTCTTTTTCAATTTTTTTTCTCTTCTGCCAAATTTTTTTAAACTTTTACCCTTTTCTTTTTTAACATTTTTTAACTAGTTTATCTAATATATATATATATATATATATATTTTCTTTTTTATATTTTTTCTTTATTCGTTTTCTTTTTTACTTATTCCTTTTTTTTTTTTTTCTTTCTGAACCTCTTTTTATCCCCTTTCTCCCCCCTCACGATTTGGGATCTCTTCTGATTTGGTTAAAGCATATTTTCCTGGGGTTGTTGCCACCCTTTTAGTATTTTACTTGCTCCTTCATATACTCTTAACTGGACAAAATGACAAGGCGGAAAAATTCACCACAAAAAAAAAGAACAAGAGGTAGTACCAAAGGCTAGGGACCTAATCAATACAGACATTGGTAATATGTCAGATCTAGAGTTCAGAATGATGATTCTCAAGGTTCTAGCTGGGCTTGAAAAAGGCATGGAAGATATTAGAGAAACCCTCTCGGGAGATATAAAAGCCCTTTCTGGAGAAACAAAAGAACTAAAATCTAACCAAGTTGAAATCAAAAAAGCTATTAATGAGGTGCAATCAAAAATGGAGGCTCTCACTGCTAGGATAAATGAGGCAGAAGAAAGAATTAGCGATATAGAAGACCAAATGACAGAGAATAAAGAAGCTGAGCAAAAGAGGGACAAACAGCTACTGGACCACAAGGGGAGAATTCGAGAGATAAGTGACACCATAAGACGAAACAACATTAGAATAATTGGGATTCCAGAAGAAGAAGAAAGAGAGAGGGGAGCAGAAGGTACATTGGAGAGAATTATTGGAGACAATTTCCCCAATATGGCAAAGAGAACAAGCATCAAAATCCAGGAGGTTCAGAGAACCCCCCTCAAAATCAATAAGAATAGGTCCACACCCCATCACCTAAGAGTAAAATTTACAAGTCTTAGTGACAAAGAGAAAATCCTGAAAGCAGCCCGGGAAAAGAAGTCTGTAACATACAATGGTAAAAATATTAGATTGGCAGCAGACTTATCCACAGAGACCTGGCAGGACAGAAAGAGCTGGCATGATATATTCAGAGCACTAAATGAGAAAAACATGCAGCCAAGAATACTATATCCAGCTAGGCTATCATTGAAAATAGAAGGAGAGATTAAAAGCTTCCAGGACTAACAAAAACTGAAAGAATTTGCAAACACCAAACGAGCTCTACAGGAAATATTGAAAGGGGTCCTCTAAGCAGAGAGAGACCCTAAAAGTAGTAGATCAGAAAGGAACAGAGACAATATACAATAACAGTCACCTTACAGGCAATAAAATGGCACTAAATTCATATCTCTCAATAGTTACCCTGAATGTTAATGGGCTAAATGCCCCAATCAAAAGACACAGGGTGTCAGAATGGATAAAAAAAACAAAACCCATCTATATGTTGCCTACAAGAAACCCATTTTAAACCCGAAGACACCTTCAGATTTAAAGTGAGGGGGTGGAAAAGAATTTACCATGCTAATGGACATCAGAAGAAAGCAGGAGTGGCAATCCTTATATCAGATCAATTAGATTTTAAGCCAAAGACTATAATAAGATATGAGGAAGGACACTATATCATACTCAAAGGATCGGTCCAACAAGAAGATCTAACAATTTTAAATATCTATGCCCCTAACGTGGGAGCAGCCAACTATATAAACCAATTAATAACAAAATCAAAGAAACACATCAACAATAATACAATAATAGTAGGGGACTTTAACACTCCCCTCACTGAAATGGACAGATCATCCAAGCAAAAGATCAACAAGGAAATAAAGGCCTTAAATGACACACTGGACCAGATGAACATCACAGATATATTCAGAACATTTCATCCCAAAGCAACAAAATGCACATTCTTCTCTAGTGCACATGGAACATTTGCCAGAATAGACCACATCCTCAGTGCTAAATCAGGTCTCAACCAGTATCAAAAGATTGGAATCATTCCCTGCATATTTTCAGACCACAATGCTCTGAAGCTAGAACTCAATCACAAGAGGAAATTTGGAAAGAACGCAAATACATGGAGACTAAAGAGCATCCTACTAAGGAATGAATGGGTCAACCAGGAAATTAAAGAAGAATTGAAAAAATTCATAGATACAAATGATAATGAAAACACAACAGTTCAAAACCTGTGGGACACAACAAAGGCAGTCCTGAGAGGAAAATATATAGCGGTACAAGCCTTTCTCAAGAAACAAGAAAGGTCTCAGGTACACAACCTAACCCTACACCTAAAGGAGCTGGAGAAAGAACAAGAAAGAAACCCTAAACCCAGCAGGAGAAGAGAAATCATAAAGATCAGAGCAGAAATCAATGAAATAGAAACCAAAAAAACAACAGAACAAATCAACGAAACTAGGAGCTGGTTCTTTGAAAGAATTAATAAGATTGATAAACCCCTGGCCAGACTTATCAAAAAGAAAAGAGAAAGGACCCAAATAAATAAAATCATGAATGAACGAGGAGAGATCACAACTAACACCAAAGAAATACAGACAATTATAAGAACATACTATGAGCAACTCTATGCCAACAAATTTGACAATCTGGAAGAAATGGATGCATTCCTAGAGACATATAAACTACCACAACTGAACCAGGAAGAAATAGAAAGCCTGAACAGACCCATAACCACTAAGGAGATTGAAACTGTCATCAAAAATCTCCAAACAAACAAAAGCCCAGGGCCAGATGGCTTCCCGGGGGAATTCTACCAAACATTTAAAGAAGAACTAATTCCTATTCTCCCGAAACTGTTCCAAAAAATAGAAATGGAAGGAAAACTTCCAAACACATTTTATGAGGCCAGCATTACCTTGATCCCAAAACCAGACAAGGATCCCATCAAAAAAGAGAACTACAGACCAATATCCTTGATGAACACAGATGCAAAAATTCTCACCAAAATACTAGCCAATA